GAAAAGAACCGTTTTTTTTTTTATAACCTATTATCGCACGCCGTACTCTCTCTCTCTCTCTCTCTCTTTCCGGCAAATAGTAAATCCGTCAATTCCATTAGGCACGTTCGCCCCTAATACGTCTTGCCAGCTGTATATCTTTCGGCATGATCGTTACTCGCTTAGCGTGGATCGCGCACAAGTTCGTATCCTCGAATAGTCCGACCAGGTACGCTTCGCTAGCTTCTTTGGAGTGCCAGTACGCAGAACTTTGGATCGCAAATCGGTCCCTTGAATCTTGCGCTATTTCACGGACAGCCGTTGGAAAGGAATTTCTGATCAAAATTCGGTACTTTTCTGATAACGACGAATTTCTCTGAGAGCCACAGTTCCCGGACGATAACGGTGAGGTTTCTTAACTCCGCCAGTAGCAGGAGCACTTTTACGGGCATCCTTCGTGGCTAATTGCTTCCTGGGAGCTTTACCCTCCGGTGGATTTACGAGCGTCTGCTTGGTTCGCGCCAGTACGTTAAATTTCAGATACTGAATATAAATTATCTATATAGCAGCGACGTGAATATTGCAACGGACAATATTATAGTGAGCGGAGTAAACACCGCGAACAGTTATATTTATATGGGCTCGAATACGAAACAGTCTGATTGGCCAATTGATAGACCAATAGGAGGGACGACAACGCTAACAAAACCGGGCGTCACGAGAGACGTACCGTCAGTTGGCAACAGCCCGTTCGCTTTAACAGTTCGACGTGCGAGAGAATCTTGAAAAATGACTGGACGCGGTAAAGGTGGTAAAGGATTGGGAAAAGGAGGAGCGAAAAGGCATCGTAAAGTTTTGAGGGATAACATCCAGGGAATTACGAAACCGGCCATAAGAAGATTGGCGCGACGTGGAGGAGTAAACGTATATCCGGATTGATTTACGAGAAACTCGAGGAGTGCTCAAAGTCTTTTTAGAGAACGTAATCAGGGATGCAGTCACTTACACGAGCACGCTAAAAGGAAGACAGTCACTGCAATGGACGTCCGTATATGCATTAAAGAGACAAGGACGCACTTTGTACGGATTCGGTGGTTAAACACTCCGCAGCAATTACCACGGTACAGGTTGAACGAAAATACAATACAAAGAAAAAAAAAACGGTTCTTTTCAGAACCACCATATACTCTCGTGAGAAAGAATGGATCTGCCGATTGAACCGCCACATTAATTTTCTATTTTTTTTTATACAAAATAAAAAGAAACACTCACATAAATGAGTTTATCGGAATATGAGAAATTGATCGACTTATACGTTTTGGCTCTTTGAATTACAATAATCGACGATTTCGGTCCCGATATGTCCCATTATCGAGATACCGGCGAATATTAGACGTGAATGCGACGATGAGATGCCTCGATTAAATAATTTAGTTATTGCCAACTTCTCGCGCCACAACCGATCCGATATCACCCTGAGAAAATTTTTCCATATACAAATGATAATCCCTTCATTTTCTTATTAAATTACTTGTTGGCCCTGAGAAGGGCCGATTGTATGTTCAGAAGATTTTTTTTTTAGGCTTTCTTCTCCGTCTTTTTCGGCAAAAGAACAGCTTGGATATTAGGGAGAACTCCTCCTTGGGCAATTGTGACGCCTGAAAGCAATTTGTTCAATTCTTCGTCGTTTCTGATGGCCAATTGCAGATGACGTGGAATAATACGGGTCTTTTTATTGTCGCGAGCAGCGTTGCCTGCCAATTCCAAAACTTCAGCGGCCAAGTATTCCATAACGGCCGCTAGATATACGGGAGCTCCGGCACCGACGCGTTCAGCATAATTCCCTTTTCGCAATAACCTGTGGATACGACCGACGGGAAATTGTAGGCCGGCCCTGCTGGATCGGGACTTTGCCTTTCCCTTAACTTTACCGCCTTTTCCGCGTCCTGACATATTCAATTTGTTAATCTGCTAAACGAACGACGTCGACTATGAACTTGCAAATGCACAACATGATCTCCGCGAACGTTGTATTTATATGAACTAACCGACCAATCGACGCGAACGTTTGCCGGCAAACGCCTGGGGCGGAGTCTACGGTCGTAACGTCACCTGTCTTAAATACGGCCAGAGAATTGCAGTCGTTCCGTTAGTCGAGCGTTGGTGTCGATTATACTCAGCATCATCTCACAATAAAATGCCACCCAAAACTAGCGGTAAGGCTGCCAAAAAAGCGGGCAAGGCGCAGAAGAATATCTCAAAATCTGACAAGAAAAAGAAGCGCAGGAGGAAGGAAAGTTACGCAATTTACATCTACAAAGTACTGAAGCAGGTACATCCCGATACGGGTATATCCAGCAAAGCGATGAGCATCATGAACAGCTTCGTCAACGATATTTTCGAACGTATCGCTGCGGAAGCTTCCAGATTGGCACATTACAACAAACGTGCCACGATAACTAGCAGAGAAATTCAGACAGCCGTACGACTATTGCTACCGGGAGAATTGGCCAAGCACGCAGTCAGCGAAGGTACCAAAGCCGTCACCAAGTACACCAGTTCAAAATAATATAGACGTTGTATTCGCTTCGACGGTTATACGGTTCGAAAAATAAGAACAAAAAAAAAACGGTTCTTTTCAGAACCACTATGTTATGATAAAATGCAAAATGATAATTAGCTGTGGTCGTTATTTTAATCTTTTCATCTATCTCTCTCTCTCTCTCTCTCTCTCTCTCTCTCTCTCTCTCTCTCTCTCTATATATATATATATATATATATATATATATATATATATATATATGTATAGAAGAAGTCCGTAATATCTGGAAGATGTCACCTGTATCACTGCACTGGGAAACAGTACCGTGATCGTAGGTGATCTAAACGCGAAGTCCACCATTTGGGGCTCAAGAAACAGAAACAGTCACGGCGCTGTTCTGGAAAGACTAATGGATGAACCTGGATATACCATGATAGGTCCGGACGAACCTACAATATACCCCAGCAACGGAGGTAGACCAGACGTCATAGATATGGCGATTCTGAAGGAAATCGACATGCGCACCACCATCGGCGCCATGCAAGAGGGAAGCTCAGACCACAACCCCATCTTTCTCTGTACGGGAGATGGGATAACACCTGTGGAACAAAGAACAGTGAAGAGAGTGAATTGGCAGCGGTTTAGAACCAGACTGCACTATTCACAAGGACCACTACTACAGATCGAAAGCCCCGAAAGCATAGAAGAAGCGGTCACGGACCTAGAAAGGAAGATTAAGGCTGCGTTAGAAGCCGCAACCACCGTGGAAGACATAACGCAACCAAACAGGTTCAGGGACCTACCTGACGAGGTAAATCGCAAGATCACCGAAAGAAACAGAGCCCGAAGAGTAGCCCAGGAGACCAGAAGCCCCACTGACATCATGGTGGCAAACAGACTTATGAGACAGGCACGAGACGCCTTGAAGCAGCACCATCAGAGCACCTGGGATAAGAAACTCGACGAACTATCTCCAGCTGACCCAGGAATGTGGAACTTGGCTAAAATCCTCAGAAATAGAAGACAGCCCATCCCCCCAATACACAGCGAACAGGGGATGGTGTACACAACCGAAGAGAAGGCGGAAGCTTTTGCTGACAACCTTCAGAGACAGTGTACTCTCAATACTCACCCCGATGAAGACGAAGACTTCATCGACGAGGTGATGAGAAGATCGAGGAGAGCTGTCAGAGGAGGAAGAGCCATCGAAGACATGCCCTCTCCAGGCGAGGTAAGGGAAATCATCGAAAGACTCAAGGTGAAGAAGGCACCGGGTGTAGACGATATTGGGAACAGAGTCCTGAAGAGACTCCCGAGGAAAGCGATAATGGCAATTACCAACATCGTCAACGCCATACTGAGACACCGGTACTTTCCAGATCACTGGAAAGTAGCCGAGGTGATCAACATTCCTAAACCTGGGAAAGACCCAAGGTTCCCCCAAAACTACAGACCCATAAGCCTGTTGACGGCACTGAGCAAGATTGCGGAAAGGGTAATCGAACGAAGACTGAAGAACGAAACCGAAGAACTCCGAGTAGTTCCAGACGAACAGTTCGGATTCCGATGCGGGCATTCAGCAGAGCACCAGGTCCTAAGGCTGGTCGAGATGGCAACGAAATCGTTCCAGACTCGGCGGGCCGTGGGAGCTGTGTTCATGGATGCCGCAAAGGCGTTCGACACTGTTTGGCATGACGGACTGATCTACAAGATGGTAGACCACGGATACTCAAAGGGGATGATCCAACTGGTGAAGTCCTACTTGAAGCACCGAAATTTCCGAATTAGGATCGGTAAAACAACCTCGACGACGAGGACTGTGGAGGCAGGAGTACCGCAGGGAGCGGTTCTACCACCCCTGCTGTATCCAATCTACAGCTCAGACATCCCGAAGACTCCTCAAACGCAACTGTATGTGTATGCGGACGATACAGCATATGCGGCAGAAAGTACGAGACCCCGCATGGTTACGGAATATCTGCAACGAGCGACCACCAACCTAGAGGAATGGTGCATCAAGTGGAAGATCCGCCTCAACCCCGAGAAGACCGAAGCGGTACTGTTCCGAAGAAATCGAAGATTACCTCAGACCAAAATAAAGATGACGACCACCAGAATGGAGAGAGGCTGGAGAAGAGATGAAGAGGTTGAGGTCGACTGGAAAGACTCCAGCACATACCTTGGAGTCAAGATGGACCAGAAACTCACTTGGAAGAACCATGTCGAAGACCGGGTGCAGAAAGTGAAGATGGCACGCTCCAAACTAAGACCCTTAACGGGCAGAAGAAGCAAAGTGTCACTAAAGAATAAGACCATCATGATTCAGATGGTGCTGCTACAAATCATGACTTACGCAGCAGTAGCTTGGGGCTACGTTTCCAAAACGATGAAGAAGAGGCTCCAAGCTCAACAAAACATGGCACTCCGTGAAGCGGTGGACGCACCGTGGTATGTACCTAACAGAGTGCTATATGACGAACTACGACAGGTACCGGTCGTAATCCAGATGAGAGAGAGGGCCAGAAAGTTCTTTGAAAAGAAATGTGCTGATTGAAGCCGCCTTGGATTACGACCCAAGAACAATAAGGCGTCATAAAAGACCGAAAAGCCAGCTGCAACAAGAAGATATTTGGCCCTAGCAGCTGATCAGGCCAAAGAAAAGGGGAGAAGACCGACAATAGTTGTACACCCAAGAGGGGAAAGAACAGCCCGTGTACAACGGGTGGACAAAAAGAAGCCTGTCGATTGAGGTGGCCAGAGTCAAGCACGGACTCGGGGCTAACCTCAGGAGACGAATGACTTACAAATATGACTGACTGACGACGACTGACTGACTCCAGTCGACGAGGAAAGAGCGAAGGCTCACCAACCTTTAGGAGGGGCTTAGGTCGAAAGCCCCCAGCGCAGGAC